GGGGGTGAGCCGTGAGCAGGTGACTGAAGCAACACAAAGTGTCACCAAACCCCAGTAAGGCTATATTCTAGGGGTGGAGCACTAGAGACGCGAGGGGAGTCTAGAGAACAGAAAACAAAGTATCCCTGGAAAAATTTTCGGAAAAAAAAAAGCTTTGAAAAAAAGTTTTTTGAAGAGTGTCATATCAATGGATTTGGCATGTCCGATTGTCTGTTGAGACTTGAGAGAGTTAAAGTTAAATGAACCTGTAAAAGTGTAAACCCAATAGGCCAATACACAATATGCTTTTACTTTTATAAAGCCATTAACATTGTACGTGTCATTTGAATCCGAGTACAATTTATGATGCAACTCTGATGTAAATAATATTTGGGGCGTAAAGATTAAATCTAGGCAAGTCTATTTCCTAAAAGAATTAAAAACTAAAAATAATGTTCGTAAAAATTCCTAACGTTCCCTGCAAACAAGCTATTTGCATGACAAGGCACTACAAACTCTATTCAGGGGAGATAATAGAGTTTCAAAACTTTACAATTGCTCCAATAAACCAGTGAATGCAAGCGAGGAGCAATTAGTTTCAGAGTGTTGCACTGTCTTTTTCTATTTGAGTGTACTCCTACGTTTATTTTGTACCATCAACACTCTGCACATTGGAGTGGACTATTTAATTATTTTTTATTATGCCGAATATTGGGGGGGGGGGTTGAAAATTTTTTGGAGGGGTGGACATTTTGTTTGAGGGGGTTATAGCTAATATTGGGGGAGGGGGTAGCACCCCCTGCACCCCCCACAAAATCCGTCTATGAATAAGTTAAATATGCCAAACCTATAACAAACTTTTTTGAAGGCTCTACTGATATCCATAAAGACCATACGAACTTCTTTACCTGATTCCAATAATTAATTATTGTTGAATCACCAGGGCAAAACCCGCTTTGAAAGCTTTTGTAAAAGGCCTTGTCTATATAAATTTAAGATTCCAGGTGTTTTTTTGTAGCATCAGGTTGTAAAACATTGGTTAAAAACCTGTTATGTAAATGATTGCCACTTGACAGCATGGTGTAAGGCTATAACTAAGCCAAACCTGAAATAATCTTTGCACAATTTGTGTCTGGATATAAAATAAGTAGCGATTTAAATACAGATGTTTCCTTGTCTGTTGCTATGTGCAACAATTTTGTTTATAGCAATAAGAGTCATTGTGGATCAATAACAATTGCTCATTTGTTAAAAATATGTGGTCGCACCGAGTCACTGGGACACATTCTGCAGGTGTGCCCAATAACAAGCAGTGCCTGGATCGATAGACACAATTCTGTGCTTGCTAGAACTGTTAAGGTGTTGGTCAAAAATCATTGGTTGGTTCTTGTGGAGCCAGCCATTCCAACACCCGCTGGAATCAGACGTCCTGACATCGTTGCGTGGAAGGGTGGGTCAACTTGCTATGTTATAGATGTTACGGTGGTTGCCGATAACACTGATTTGGAGCGTGTGCACCAGTTAAAAATAGACCAAAAGTTCGTAGGCAAAAGTTCGAAGAACGCCAAAATGGCCAAAAGTTCGTAGAACGACAAAACAAATTCGCAACTTTTTAATATACTTGGGTTTTAAAATCATTTTGCACCTCCCCCCGCTCCCCCATTCAATGTTGCTCTCCCACATTTCTAGTACACGTACAATTTTGTTGTAGAGTAGGTCAGATCATAAATATACACGAAACGGCAACATTGAAGGGGGGAGACCTTAAAAATGCATAAAAATTTATCGTTGTTCTACGGTTTATGGCCAAGATTGTCTGAAAATTGCTACATGTTCATTTCCACGTAAAATACATTTAACCTTGTACAAGACACTTGTGCTAATTTATTCTGCATAAAAATATCAAATATGATTGTTATATGTGTTGGCGCCGTGTACTATTTACGTCTTTAGTTAAGGTGGCTCTGCTAAGCTGCTCAAGTTATACTTGCTTTCAGGTTACACATAAGACAATCATGGTCTTACTCTAGTAGAAGTTGTACAATCAAACTATCAAAGTTCAATCGCTTTTTTATAAATAGGACCATACTGCTATGAAATATCTGTTTTTAAATATATATTTCAGTTGTTCATAAAAGAAGGCAATCTATACGATATTAGATTGAAATTAAGCCAATGTGTTTAGATAATTGAGAATTATTTGCGCAAGTAATGTAAACAAGAGAAATTTTCTACTTCATTTTACATGACAAAGAGTAATTGCAAGAGCTTATTGCGATATAATAATGCACTGCAAATCAATATGTAATTGTTATACGTGGGGGGCGCCGGGCTTTCTGTATTGTGACACTCCATACGTGACAGTATATACTCAATGAAACAAGAGCTAAGCGAACATATATGAATTTGCGCAAGTAATGTAAACAAGGGAAATTTTCTCCTTCATTTTACATCAGAAAGAGTAATTGCAAGAGCTTATTGCGATATAATAATACGCTGCAAATCAATATGTAATTGTTAGACGCGCGGGCCGCCGGGCTTTCTGTATCGTGACACTCAGTACTCAGTGACAGTACTCAAAGAAACAAGAGCTAAGCGAACATATATGATTTCACTGTCTGAAATAAAATGTTTTTAAATGTTGGCATAAGTGTCGCAATTCTGTTTGTTGGTATTTTGTAGGAAAATTGGGCCTTTGGAAAGGACAATCACAGTACTCGCCATAACAGGAGTTAAGACAATGTCTATATCTCATATTAAGTTTGGAGGTTTTAATGAGTAATGTCAATTATTGCTTCAAATCTACAATTTGTTTTACCTATTTGCCATGAGATTGTAAGGACAGTAACAATGAACAAAATGTTGTGTATATTTTATGTATTTATTTACAATCCGACGAAAAATTAAGCAATTACTGTGAGTACTGTTCATGAGTACTGTCAGTTAGTTATTAAGCTACTAGAGTTCATTTATATGTATATATAGATTAATATTTTGTCCGATACGGCACCAGACTTAATTATTTGGTCAACATCACATCATAAGGACAACCCAATGTTCAATTGTAAAGCCTGACACGGTCTATGCATGCATGCTCTACAATGGCATCAGCAAAGCTCTTTTTTGTAAGAAATTTCTGAGTGTCCGCTCTGCTGTACGTGGCTATAAACACGATTCGTTGTTGCGCACGCGATATATTCCTCATATCTATAATTATGATATGTTGGATCTTACACAGCAAGATTAATTAAAAATTCTATTTGTCAATTGGCGTGTGTAGCTTTAACTGAAAATATGTATACTAAAATATATCTATAATTACGTTGTATCAGTCTGCCTTTATAACCATTACTGTCCGGTTCAAAATAGACATATATGCTATTTGAAGAGAAGATTAAGGCCCTACCCAGAAATCCGGTCTCAAATTACAGTATACAATATTTATTAATATCTACCTATCATTCAATATTTAGGAATACCAGAATGACTTTTGAAGTGTTATCCAGTAGTACAAGAACATAAGTACATTTTTGAATATTTCTACAACTGGTGTTCTAAATTTAATACATATATATGCAAAGGATTAAAAACATAATTTTCGGACAATCTTGGCCAAAAGTCCGTAGAACGACAAAACAAATTCGCAACTTTCTAATATACTTGGGTTTTAAAATCATTTTGCACCTCCCCCCGCTCCCCCCATTCAATGCTGCTCTCCCACATTTCTAGTACACATACAATTTTGTTGTAGAGTAGGTCAGATCATAAATATACACGAAACGGCAACATTGAATGGGGGGGAAGGGGGGAGACCTTAAAAATGCATAAAAATTTATCGTCGTTCTACGGTTTATGGCCAAGATTGTATGTTATAGATGTTACGGTGGTTGCCGATAACACTGATTTGGAGCGTGTGCATCAGTTAAAAATAGAGCGCTGCTATAATATGCAGTATGTTTGCGACTGGGCACTTAGGGTAAGTGGAACTGCCACGGTCACCTTTTTGTCAGTAAGTTTTAACTAGAGGGTATCCTAGGAGGGTCCATCTTATGAAGTACTGAAAAACAGTCTTAGATTAGGTGAATATGATATAGCATTACTTGCAACTATTGTTATGGAAAAAGGCTATCAAACCTGGTTAGACTTTAAACGATCAACATTTCACGAAAGGTGAATGAACGAATGATTAAATATTAACATTGACATACTGTGAATTTATGAATGGTGAAAGAACACTCCAATATAATTAATGTTGCATCAATAACTAATGAACAATCTGAAATAATACTCGACATGAACAATCATAAGCTAAACTTAAGTTATTAAAGTCATTTCACCTTACGTAAATATTTTAACTGTATATCTTTTATACATTTTTATATTATGTGTGAGGGCTGCACTCTCATCGCCCAAATGTGCTTTATGTAAACAAATTTGCAATAAAGTATTCAATTGCCAAAATTGATGTATTGCATGTTATGTACCTGGTAATATGGATTGGATATAATTGGCATAAAATTAATGGTGTAAAATCTGAATCACCTTGCATTTGCTGATGATATTGGTCTATTGACCAAAACATCGGTTGGGGCACAAAGTCAGATTGATCGCTTGAACGATCACCTGAAAAAGTGTGGACTGTTTATAAGCGCAGGCAGTACAGGCAAGTCAGCATCCTTGAAGATCGATGTGGATGGAAAGAGGAAGTTGTGGGTAGTCAATCCTAATGTGCATCTGCATGTGGCAGGCAAAGACATTCCAGCTAAATCTATAGGGGAGACTTATGAGTACTTAGGTGTACCACTCTCTGCCAAAAGGCCAATACAACAGTCTGCTCACAACTGCAGAAGTATTTAGATAATATAAGTAGGGCGACTCTGAAGCCCCAGCAACGGCTTTACATTCTCAAGCGACATGTTATTCCAGCATTATATCATCAGCTGGTGTTATCTGACTGCTCCAAAGGGCTTCTCACTTTTCTGGATGTCAAAATCAGAGGTGTGGTGAAAAGATGGCTTAAGATGCCCAAGGATACCAACAATTTCTTTATTCATGTACCTGTCATTGAAGGGGGCCTGGGAGTGGTTGTTTTGAAATATGCCATTCCCCTTATGCAGAAAATCAGGCTCGAGAAGCTACTTGGAAGCAACGATCCGGCTGTCGCTGCGGTTGTTGGAACTACCTTTGTTGCGAACATGCTGCATAATGACTCGGTGCCATTGCAGGTAACTGGCATTCCTATTTGCAATAAAGAAAATCTGAACAGTGCCTTAGCATATGATTCGCATTGCTCTCTGGACGGCTCTGGTTTAAAAAAGTGCAGTCAGGTTTCCATCGCTAATAAATGGGTGGACTCTCCCACCCACCTAATGTCAGGTGCCAACTACATCGGTGCCATTCAAGTGTGCGGTAACTTGATGGCTACAGCAGCCAGAATGGCTAGGTGGCCCCAGCATGATGTGGCATGTGATGCCTGTAGTCGCACTGAGTCATTGGGACACATTCTGCAGGTGTGCCCAAGAACCAGTGGTGCCAGGATCCATAGACACAATTATGTGCTTGCTATGTTATAGATGTTACGGTGGTTGCCGATAACGCTGATATAATACGCAGCATGTTCGCAACAGGCACTTAGGGTAAGTGGAAGTGTTTCATCAGTAAGTTTTAACTAGAGGGGTACCCTAGCAGGTCCATCTTACAACTTACTGAAAAACAGTCTTAGATTAGGTGAATATCAAATCTGGTTAGACTTTAAACGATCAACATTTCGCGAAAGGTGGATGAACAGATGATTAAATATTAACATTGACATGTTGAACTGTGAATTTATGAATGGTGAAAGAACACTTCAATATAATTAATGTATGCATCAATAACTAATGAACAATCTGAAATAATACTTGACATGAACAATCGTAAGCTAAACTTACTATATATCATTATACATTTTTATATTATGTGTGAGGGCTGCACTCTCATCGCCCAAATGTGCTTCATGTAAACAAATTTTCAATAAAGTATTCAATTGCCAAAATTGACGTATTGCATGTTATGGACCTGGTAATATGGAGTAATGAGCTAGTAAGTATATCCTTAGTTGCTGATTAAATGTTCAAAGATATGCAGTGTGAAGCATGAAAAACAAATGGTAGATACCCACTGGAACAAATTTTCAACAAATATATATGGATTTGTTCACTTCATTTATTGCTTTTGACACAAGTAATTTATATAATTACAAACACAATGTACTGTCATGTAAAGACTTTACATGTGCTCCATGTATCTAAAAAATAATGTGTTTATTGTTAAAATATGTGATATATAATACTGTAAACCTCTGACTATAAGCTCTGGGCTTATATTGTTTTGTAAGCGATTTTTGATGGGCCTTATACATGGATGGAGGCCACTGTGAGCTATACTATATACTGGAGGACCTGCACGGGGAAAAAAAGTGAAGCCAAAAACATGGCGGATTTTGGCCTTCGCTGATGCCATTTCCATGACAACTGGTCTGTATTTCTCATGGTAATTACCACTGACCAGGCTCGGATCTGAGCCCGCTACAATTTCCACACCCCCTGTTTTTTTAAAAAACTTTAGGTTTTTGCGATTTTGCTCGGGTTTTGTAGTATTCTCTTGATATTTGAATCGATTTTTAAAATGTTTTCGAGATATTTTTTCTAAATTTTGTTATTGGTTCAAAGATGTGCAAGTCATACATGTTATTCTTCCTGGGAAAGACAACAAAATTCAAACCTCGCTGTCCTCGCAAAATATGAGCAAAGGCGCAAAGCCAAAGAGGATATTTGAATCAGCAAGCTATAAACAGGTATTTGACCATATTTCATTCAATTTTATTTATGCTTTATCTTATCTCACAGAAAATTGGTAGGCTTAACTAAAGCTTGATGATGAAATGCACTCTTTTTGTTAAGAAAACAGGCTTTGCTGGGTTTTTTGTGTAATTTGGCATCTGTATATTTCAAAATTTGGTTGCAGAAACTACAACTTTTTGTTATTTATCAATTACTTTAGAAAATGCTATTAACTCCAGACGTTCCTTCAAAGCAAACGGTATGTCACACATCATATATTCAGGTTTTGTGCAAGTTTGCCGTTTTTCAGTCATTTTGTATTACGCACGGGAAATTGACAGCCCAATCGGGTGTTGGGGCACCAATTTCCCATTTGTAATACAAAATGACTGCAAATTGCAAATTTTGCAAGGCTATATTGTTCGCATTTTACAACATTTCGCAACGAAACTTTGGAATATTACTAATTTTGTGATGCTCTTTCAAGCTATGATGAAATTTTTGTCTAGATCAAAATTTAGTCTATAATGCAAATGGTCCATTGACAAGTAAAATTGTCTGGCGTTAGACAAGTAAAAAAAGTAGGGCGCGCTGGGGCATATTGTGGCAGTCACATTGTATTGTTTTTCCCATCATCATTTTTGTGCTCAAAGTTACAGTAGGAGGGTCAGAGGTCGAAGTAGAAGATGGTGGTGAATTTTGTTGCTCTGAAAAATTCGTAATTTTGACTGCTAGTACACAAATATTTTGATGTTTATATGTTTGTGTAAGTCTGTCATGTCAGCAAAATCTATCAATTTGGAGGAGTTTAGATCCTTATTGGATGAAAAATTGGTTCCGTTGAAGTCAGAAATTTCTGAACTAAATTCGAAGAGATCATTTATTGATATGACGAATGAGAAATATGAAGAAGTAATGAGCATGTTAGCCGAATGAGATGTTGAGAGAAAACAAATAATATCCGAGAATAAAATTTTGAAATCAACTGTCCAAATGATGGAAAGTCATGTGAAACAGCTCAGGGAATCAATCAATGAAATGGAACAATATTCGAGAAGAGAGCACGGGATGAAAAATTGGATTCGCACCGAATTTGCAACAACGGCAAATTTGATGCAAATTCAGTTTACTAAATTGGCAACCGTTGCGAATTCATCTTTGCAACACACTACATTTACTTCATATTTGCCAACATCTTTGCAGAAGTGCAAATGTAGAAAAGAATTTGCAACAACTTTGCACCTAGCTGCAAAGTTGAAGCAAAGATAGTAAACAGATTTTACTTTATTTTTGCTTGTAAAATTGTTTGTCTTTTCAAATAATATTATTATAAGAAAGCACTATAAGTGCTATATATAGTCCTTCTGTCAGAGAAATTCAAATCTTATTTAAGGCGGTCGAAGCTTAGCTTCCTAGAGGTTCGAAATAACGTAGAAGATTTTTCCTCGAGAAACTCGGCATGGCAAATATCTACAGACCGCGACCGTACCAGATGAGGGAGGCAATTATAATATAGTCTCGGTGCCCCCGAGCTCAGCAACCTCAAATGCAGCTTTAATCATCTGTGCCGTTTTTTCGGGGGCCTTAACTTATATTTTACCCGTGACCCATTAATATCTGGGCAGCCTTGCCCTTGGTCATCATAGAAATCTAAAGCGATTTTAAATTCGGAAAATAAACCCGACAATGGGCTTATATAAGTTAAATCGACGTTGTGTTTTATAACATTCATAACCTTGACTGACAAACAAGACTAAATAAATTCGCAACAAATTGGCATATACATTTGCGTACTGAAATGTACGTAGCAAATATAACACTAGATTCGAATGCATTCGCATTAGTGCAAAGACAAAGTTTGTCACTTGTAAATTCGCAACAAATTGGCATATACATTTGCGCACTGAAATGTACGTAGCAAATATAACACTAGATTCGAATGCATTCGCATTAGTGCAAAGACAAAGATTGTCACTTGTAAATTCGCAACAAATTGGCATATACATTTGCGCACTGAAATGTACGTAGCAAATATAACACTAGATTCAAATGCATTCGCATTAGTGCAAAGACAAAGATTGTCACTTGTAAATTCGCAACAAATTGGCATATACATTTGCGCACTGAAATGTACGTAGCAAATATAACACTAGATTCTTTGCGGAAGTCTTTCCTTTCTACTAAAAACGTTTTTGTATTATCTGCGTGTAAACGTGCCAGTACCGTAAACCTCCAACTATAAGCCCTGGGCTTATATACTTCGTAAGCGATTTTTGATGGGCTTATACAAGGGGGGGGGCTTATATACAGGTCGGCTTATACATGGACGATCTTTTGTGTTAGTTATAATAAACAAGTCAGATATAAACAATTCAGTCATGCAGGGAAATAAACGTGTATTAAGCAGCGATAGATTACTGGGTTTATATTAATTGTGGGGGACTTATATTCGGGGGGCTTATATTCGGGGGGGGCTTATAGTCGGAAGTTTACGGTATATATTTTTCAAATTTAATAACTATTGTAGTTTATACGTACATGTAAAACATTACTAATCTATATTTGTAATATATTAATATAATCTGTAGTTGGTAAAAGCAATTTGCTAAGACTGCTTACAGTTAAAAATCATGAAATAATAATAAAAACTATTTTAAGGGGGATCCCTAAGGTTTTTGCGTTATACTGCACTTTTGTATCCAGAACACGCCTGTTTCTTCACTTTACATGGCATGAAGACGAAATTTATTCGACACATTGTCATTGACAATGCTCTCCTAAACATTGCAATGTGCTAATTTTGTGCTGAAAGTCTGTTACCATGGCAACAGTGTGCTTACGATAAGGCTCAATATTTTTTTTTAGTTTTTTGAATATTGTACACGTCAGTCTACAGGGACGTAGCAAAGCATATGAAGTTTTTTTTTGGGTGGGGGGGGGAGTGTCGGAAGATTTTACCTGAAATTTGAATTTCAATGTTAAAAATTTACCTGAAGTGCAATAATTAAAAAAAAAGCTTGTAATTGATTTGAAAATAAAAATGTTTCCATTTTTGAAGCTCTAGGGCTATGTCGATCTGGCGTTTTCTAAAGCTAATTCGCGAACAAATTGGATGTACATTTGACGTTAGATGTGATAATTATTCAATGACACGTCACATCTCGCAAAAAATGCCAAAATTAAACATAAATTTATTCTCCTTTTTCCTTCGGTCAATTTTTTTCTGAAAACTTTGCACATTTAATGGCGGCTTGACGAGCTCAATATCCTATTTTCCAACAATTTTATTGAAGGGAATATTTTAATTTGTGACGTTTTGAAATTTAATTTCCTAAAAAAACATTCGATAGAATCTTTTAAAATTGAAGAAAAATCAGTATATGAGAACCTTTTATGCAAATTTTTGAAAAAATTTCCGAAGGGAATTTTTAAAACGGCCGCAAAAAGACAAATTTTGAGTTTAATTATCCTAAGCTCGCTGTCGCCATGGTAACAGACTTTCAGCGCAAAAGTAGCAAATTACAATGTTGAGGCCAACCTCGTTCCTAGGGCTTTCGTATGAGGACGAGGGGAGAGATGAGAAAGCCCAGGTCTGGGCAATCTCGAAACCAGAGCCTGCAATCCTCTGTGGAGGCTTGTGGAGGCTCTGGGAAACAGCGGCGACTTTTGCACAAAAATCAGTACATTTGGATCCAGTACTCCGCTCGACATTTATAAATAGACAGTGTTTCATTGATATCATGGTTTAAACATAATACACAAATTAAAGTCAAAGATAAATAAACTTTATATTAATTTTAAACGATGTTTGATATTTTAATCACTAAATACGGCTCACAGTTTGAATAATAATTAGCACTTGAAAAACAACCAATCTGAGCCCGACTTTCGCTGGTGTTTCCCAGAGCCTCAGCAAGCCTCCTCAGAGGATTGCAGGCTCTGGTTTCGAGATTGATGCAAAAGTCGCCGGTGTTTCCCAGAGCCTCAATCTCGTTCCCCGACCCTGCGAACCTCGGGAAGGAAACAAAGGCTTTGAGATAATCTGTTGCATAAAGCCAGGAATTCTGATTCCTCCCTGAAATGGATTATCCCAGAGCCTTCGTTTCCTTCCCGGGGACCGCAGACTCAGGGAACGAGATTGCCAGAGCCTCAGCCAGCCGCTCCTTGCGTTATCAACAACATAGTATTGTAATTATCAACCGTTATCAGCAATAAGTTATTGGGTTGTAACCCTAACCTCTAACCCCCACCCCCTAACCCTAACCCTGAAACGTCTACTATTATTTGGGCTGTTGTTTTCCTTGACCTTGTACAGTATTTATAATGCGGTGCAGACAGTGGCGGAAATTCACTTTTCCGGCGGGAGAACGGGGGGGGGCAAAGCCTCCTAAATTTCCGACAAAACTTTCAAATTTCCGACATACCCCCCCCCCCCATTTGCACTCGAAAAGATTGTTTTTAGCCCTCTTTTCGATCAATATTTCCGAAAATTCGTCAATTTTCCGGAAGGTGGGGGGGGGGGCGCCCCCCCCCCGCTCCACCAGGATTCAGTCCATCACTGGGTGCAGATGTCTGATGAAATACTACGCGTATTGCATTGTAGTAATATTTTAATTTACAATATTCTATACTGACAAACAAAAGCAAGACAAACAATTAAATTAAACTGCTAAATTAATTTATTTTTTAGGCCCCGTTTACTTAATAGCTCTACGCCTAGGCCGATGTAGTCTCTACAAGATTCGTCACGCCACCGTACCGAGTTTTACAGTTTCACAATACCCCGAATACTTGAAAATTGCGATTATACGATAAAATAGAACTAATATTGTGAAGGGGATAAAATTTGTAGGCAAGCATTGCTCCTGAACGGCAAGTGTTAGTGTCCGGCAAAACAGGTTACGCGAGGTTTTATATTTGTGTTTATTTATATCAACGGTTTTCAACTGGTTTTCTCATGTGTCCCCGATTTCACATGATTGAATTACCACGTCCCCTGAACAGAAATTGCCCACTGAAGTCTATCAAAAACACGAATTTCGAAATAGTAAAATAGTAAATGATTTAAATTTTAAATAATAGATAGAAAGTCAAGCAAACATGTTTATAGTACAAACTATTGTATTCAACTATTGTATTCAACTATTGTTTTCTCAGTCCTAGACCAGTTTGTGTCCCGTAGGAATTTGCCAAATGTCCCCTCTCGGGGACATGTCCCCCAAGTTGAAAACCGTTGATTTATATGGAACTATAAGTCAGATCTATAAAACTAAAACTAAACTATTTAAACTAAATATTAAAGGCAATAGGCATACTGTTCAAGACGAGAGAAAGCAAATTTCGTGTGAATCAGATCACCACTTGCATGGAGACACCTAGATGCAGCTTGGATGCATTTGCGTGTGGTTGAAATAAGGTTTCCGTTTTTATATCAATTATTAAAATAAGTTAGGGTTAGGTTAGGGTTTAGGTTAGGTTAGATTAGGTTAGGGTGAGTATTAGGGTTTAGTTTTGCGTTAGGATAGTTTTTTCTACATTATAAAAGCGGAACCTTATTTTGAAGTATACTTGTCTATCGTCACTATCTAGCGATCACCGTGGTTGAAAATCTCCAGAAATGTCGATATATTATAGAAAACATAGACGGGGTCTTCACAGATTTCAGCTGATTCGTGCCAAACTTCACTACACATAAATAATATCGATTGAGAAGTCTTTTGGCCGTTTATTTGTTTCAAAGACTGGTATATTTCATTAAAGAATATCTCGCCACTCCTTGACAAGTAGCTATCAAATACTACCATTTTTTGGGTAGTCACGTGACCGGCCCAGACGTCTCTTGCTTCGTCATCATACGAAAGCCCTGGGAACGAGGTTGTGTTGAGGAAATGCAATGTTCATTGTCAATGTGAAGTGAATTAAGAAACAGGAGTTTT